CTCATATTTATCATTGGTGGTCTTTTTACTCCATCTTATAGGGTCAATAAGATTTCCATATCGGACTGCAGTTATAGGTCAAAGAACAGATTAGTTTCTCATGTGTAATCGCAAATAACTCGACAGTAAGGAAAAGAACATAGTTCAAAATGAATGTGCTGACTAAAGCTCGTACAATTTCTAGTAAATTAGGCATTCGCTATTACAGCGAAAAAGTTGGTATAATCGGAGTACCTTTTGACAAAGGACAGGTAAATGTAAAATATGCGAAAGAGAATAGTAAACAATTTCAATACTGCACATGTCTGAAATAAAGCTTCATGGAAGTAATAGATATATTAAGAAAAGAATATTAAGCGTATTATGTTATAAAAACAATAAATTTTACAGAAAAAGGAAGGAGTAGCTCATGGACCTGAGGCGATTAGAGCAGCAAGATTGGTAGACGAATTGAAAATATTAGGTAAATCTGCAACAATGTGCGATGTTTATCTTTTTTATAAATATAAATATATTACAAAACCTAAGTACGTAAGTTAACGTAATTTATATTTCATAAAAAAAAGAGTTGGACGTGCGAGATTACGGCAATGTGTTCTACAGTGCAAACAATATAGATGACGTAAAAAATATGTCACATTTGGGTCATGTGGCCAGTTGTATGAGTAGTTTATCCGAACAAATTCGGCAAGTGTTACGCGACGGCAGACAGGCATTAACGATCGGTGGTGATCATAGCTTGAGCATCGGTACAATCGATGGACATGTCAAGGTGTGCAAAATGGAAATATTTTCATAGAAGAATCAATGAATCGTTAAATCCGAACGTTACACTTTTTTTTTTATAGGAAAGGCAGGATGTGGCGGTAGTGTGGGTGGATGCTCACGCTGATTTAAATACTAACAAAACCAGTGAGAGCGGTAATGTGCACGGGATGCCGGTAGCATTGTTAACTACGGAGCTAGCCGATTATTGGCCGTATTTACCGGGCATGGACTGGCAAATGCCGATGTAAGAACATTCACAACATTCGAGCATTTCTGCTCATTAATTTTTTTAAACCAATTAAATGAATTAAACTAAATTAATGTAAATAAAAAAGAAGTTTAACCAGTGTATTATTTTTTTTTTTATAGATTATCCATCAGAAACGTAGCTTATATCGGCTTGAGATCCATAGATCGCTACGAAAGATTGATAATCGAAAAATTTGGTATTACCGCTTACGGCATGGAAGATATAGAACGTTATGGTGCGGATGTAAAATAGTTGTGCCTTGATCGTCGCGTAAAACCGTTCAATGCATTTAACCGATATACTTTTAGGTATTCACGACGTGATACATATGGCGCTTAACAAAATAGATCCTCATAACGCAAGATCTCTGCACGTCAGCTTCGATATAGATGTGTTGGATCCGCTTGAAGCACCTAGCACTGGAACGCCAGGTTTGCAGTATATTATATATTAATGTATATGCATACATATATGCATTATTCTTATTACAAATCCTTATATCTGCATATTTGTACAGTACGCGGAGGACTGTCTCTTAGAGAAGCGATCCACCTTATGGAAGAAATACACAGAACGCACAGATTGAGCGCTATCGACTTAGTGGAAGTCAATCCACAAATCGGTAGCGAACGAGACGTTGAGATGACTGTGCAAGCAGCCATACATATCATCCAAGCGGCTTTGGGCTATACAAGACGCGGTTTGAGAGTACCTAAGGGTATAACCGACATGCCTTTACAAACATTCCATTAACATCTATTTCATGTATACCTATATTTTATCCTCGTATCGCTTGTCATTTTCATTTATCTTTACAATACTATTTTTATATATAACATAAATAAATAAATTATTTCTGAATCATATTTTTACATAAATAACAAATCTATTTTTCTCTTAATACAAACTTTTGTTTCAACTTATCTCATATTGCCTTATTACAAACGTCTTCCCAGGTATATTATCAAACGTAATTTCAATTTTAGACGCCTCAGGTTTGTTCTCGAGCTCACGGTTCAACGTTACCTCGTAATACAACTTTGCCTTGGTATTAACACCTGTGAGCGGTACCTTGAACCATTTGTAATCTTGCTTGACCCACGCGTCCTCGTGCTCAAGCGTGCGAGATCCATCGCCGTAAGTGATGCGGCCCAGCGTTACAGGCTCCCCGAGATACGGCACGGCTTTCTTGTGCGCGCGTAGGGTATCCATAACGTCTTTATAAGTCTCGCTCTCTTTAATGTCGTATTGTATGCGATAATGAAAAGCGTAGCCCGTACTCGCCGTTATGAATCCTCCCAAACTCGCTATCTTCATAAGCGTTTGATTCGATACCATATCTGCAACGAAATAAACCGTAGTTTAAGTCGAAAAGTACACTTATTTATATCCGTAAACAGTTTCTTCTCATTACCGTGCAACCTAACCTCTTCGAGTCGACGGAATTAACCTCAAAATTATCCGGGGAAAACTTAGGGGATTTGCTTTTAGCTTGGAGGGTTTCTGGGGGAATTTTTGGAGAGAGGAAAGCTTCGAAGCGACTTGGCGACACTGATCAGGACCACCGACGATTGTTGATATGCACAATGCACAGCTGAGTGCTGAGTGCGTCAAAACTACGCAGAACTACGCAGAACTGTGCGTTACGAATGTGTTGAGTGTGCGGCGCGTGTGCCATGCGTGTACGTGTGATATAATGCATTCAATAAATCGCTATGCATTACTTGCAAAACGTGTATGAAAAAATGGAGAAGTTATGAAAGGTATCTCACGTATGTATCGATCGGAGAGAGAGAGAAATCCTGGCATCGCGTGTAGCTTTCCGTTTGTCACACAAGTTTTCTATCGCGCGCGTCATCCTTCGTGAAGTGAGTATATCGTCGATCGCTATATACAAGTCGCATCTCGCGAAATTGTACGCTAATCGTATTATCGCATCGAGTTACAATATGGACAAGGAGACCAAAGAGGAAGGAAGAGGTAATTTTTCAGGAGACATCAACGTGCGCGTCATTCTCTCTGCGATCGGGTTTTTTTTTTTTAATTGCGAGAGAACAAAATGATATACGGAGCCGGATATATCATACAAATGTATCTTTTTCCATTAAAACATTCTTTGTTTTTTTTTCCTCGGTATTGTAATTGATATATCTTATGCAAACTAATCTGGCCGCTCTTTATAATACAATACCTAATTCGTTATATGAATTTTATTGTTATATGATTTTTAAGAACATATTGTAATGTCCGAATAATTCGAAGAGATGACTCTTGGGTAATATGTATATTTAATGAACTTTTTCGTATAAAGTCTTTCGGAACGAACGTAACTGGCTACTGGCGAAGCTCTGACTCGACTCTCTTCAAGACGACAAGACTGAAACTGAACCTTCACGGACCTGTACGACTCAGAGCTTCGCCAGTAGCCCAGTTACGTTCGTTCCGAAAGACTTTATACAAAAGTTCATTAAATATACATATTACCCAAGAGTCATCTCTTCGAATTATTCGGACATCCCTACAATATGTCGCATAGTTTGGATGCTACACTTTCCCTGTATAAAATAATGTGCGTACTTCTTAAGACGTCAGTTCCGTCATTTGTTTCCAGACGATAATCTAAATGAGGAAAAACAAAACGCTTCATCTGAATCGTCGGACGTAGAAGATTGTTCCGAGATGGAGAGATTACGCAGATACCTGGCTCAAAAATTAAGACTCGTCGACCTGCCGGCGGGTGAGCAAAGTGACGAGTCACAATTGCAGCCGACCCTTCGCAAGCTCAGTTTGGACGGGATTGTCGAATACATTAAGGAAAATGAGAATTGCAAAATCATCACTATGGCAGGCGCTGGCATTTCTACCTGTAAGCACATCAAAGATATATTCTACATATGTCAAATTCTTTACCAATGGATTTGTAATAAATTATTTGATAACAATATGTCTTCTACATGTTTTAATTATTTTGTGGTTGTTTTATATCCTATCAAATATACATGTAATGTTTCGTATTTTGTTACGAGAGTCATAACTGTTAGTTTTTATATTTCAATGGCAAATATATATCAATGCTTACATACTGATTATAATTATTAATGTCATAAATGTATATACACACACACGCATACTTTTTTTTTACAGCTGCTGGGATACCAGATTTTCGGTCTCCATCCAGTGGACTTTACCATAAATTAGACAAATATAATTTACCCCATCCGCAAGCAATTTTCGAGTTAGAGTTTTTCATGAAGAATCCAGAGCCATTCTTCACTCTTGCGAGAGAATTGTTGCCGGAAGGCTTCAAACCTACGATAAGCCATTATTTTATTCGCCTACTGTGGGAGAAAGGTTTATTGTTACGGCATTACACGCAGAATATTGATACGCTGGAACGTGTAGCTGGATTGCCATCTGAAAAACTAGTGGAGGCTCATGGAACGTTTCACACTGGTCATTGTCTCAAGTGCCGAGCACCATATACACTTCCATGGATGAAAGGTATACTTTTATGATGTTTCTATTTTTTTTTCGCATTAAGTAGATTTATTTGAAACAAATGGATGAGAGTAGCGTCTGTTTATCATGTGTGTGAGAAGAGTCTTCATCATGTTGTGTATTATCTAGATATTATTCAAAATTTAAAATTAAAAATTTGTAAACTTTGAGATAATATGTAAACTAAATACTACTAAGTATTTATTATAATTGAAACTTTAGGAAAGGATATTTAACTTGTATAACCTCGGACATGTTGCCAAAGTCATAATCCTGAGCCATCTTTAAACAGTTTAAACATTGCTTATTTATTAAAAAATTATTAACAAATAAAATAAAAATGAGCGTTAAATATATTAATAAAGTTAAATATTAAATACAATAACCTGAGTCTTACTAAATATGAATTTTATATTCTTTGTCTGTTTATTACAAGGTAAATGCAGAACAGTTTTATAAAAAGTAAGATGTTAGCGATTAATTGATCAAATACTGATTGTAAGTTTATTTAAATGATAGAAAAAATAATAGAAGGTGCAATACCAAAATGTGAAGAGTGCGATGAAGGTGTTGTGAAACCTGACATAGTCTTCTTCGGTGAAATGCTCCCTGAACGTTTCCAAGTACTTGCTGATCGAGATTTCGTAGAGGCTGATCTTTTGATTATCATGGGATCAAGTTTAGTAGTGCAACCTTTTGCATCGCTAGTGGATAGGTATACATAAATATTAAAAATAGTTTTACAAAAATTATTAGAAAAGAAATATATATGCATTTTTGAATATAATTTTGTTTTTAAGAGTACGAACCACTTGTCCTCGTTTACTCATCAACAATGAAAAAGTGGGTATGCAAGATCGTCTATCACGATTCTTAGGATTGCGGCAGGGCTTAGTATTTGATGCCAAGAGCGCGCATGGGGGACGTGACGTAGCCTGGTTGGGTGATTGTGACACAGGTTGTCAGCTGTTAGCAGACAAACTTGGCTGGAGGGTAAAACATATTTTTTTTACTCCTATTTATCTTGTATTATTTCATGTTCATTTTAGAATGTGAATTACTAACTGCATGTTTAACAAGTATTGAAGTAAAATATGAAATTTTTATACGTAGAAAAGGCTAAGATGCAACTTATAATTTTAGGATGAATTGCAAGCTCTCATGCAAAGAGAACGTGAAAGTTTAAAAGCAGAAGACAAAAGCGACAATTAACTGATATTAATTGGGTAACGATAATTGGTAGTGCTTTCTTCTAGAAGGAATAAATGGATTATCGTTTTATTAACGATTTATGTCATCTGAAAAAAAAGTTATAAAGATAAAATTTTACTTAAAATAGGCGACGAGAAATATTGTTGGAATTTTAAAATAAGATATATAATACGGTTAATTTAAGAATGTATTTATAAATATCCGTTAATTTATCTTATTGCTTCTCATAAAAAATTAAACAAATGTTAATGTGCAGAATTAGGTATTTTACTATTGATTCTATTCTTGTTAGTCATTTATTATCGGATTCTTGTACTGTATAACAAATCAAGTGCGTTGTAAAAATGAATTTTAAATGAAATTCATATTTGAAATTATATTGTAAATAAGAAAAAAGTGCTGTATTTTTTTCAATAATCTATATGCTTAATTCTAGTTTCTGAAATGTATACCTATTGCCAAATTAAAGTAAAAATGATAATGTCCATAATATTTTGTACTTCTATGACATATCCTTCTATTAACGAAATTAATGAAATTAATCTAAGACATAACTAGTTTTATTGAATGTAATTTAGTTAGGAGATATTATATTTGAAGTAAATATTTTCTAGTTTTTATTTCAATGTAAATGGTTTAACAATAACTTCGTTAGCTTCTCGTTGATGCATTTGTCCATCTCCAACAGCTGGTGCTGCCATCGATTTTCGACCACAATATTTCAACTAAAAATTATGTTGTATTATATCGTAAAAAAATAAATAATAAAATACGTATGTGCACACATTTATCTTATTGCTTTTCACAAGTAAAAAAATTGATTAAAAAAATGAATGTTAATATTCATTATATATTTACATATTAATTTTTATAATTTAATACAATTTACCTGTCGTCCACATAAGTTCTCAAAACGTGGTTTAATAAAACTCCATGCGCCCATATTTCGTGGTTCTTCTTGACTCCAAATAAAGGCTGAAACCACAAGAAACATAAAATGTTTATTTAGAAACGGTCCATGTTTTTGATACAGTTTTGATTGTATCGAACAACTACATTTCTCCACTTACTTTTTGCATGTTTATATTTTGCAATCTCCTCTAGTAACTCGTGGACAGGAAAGGGACATAAATTTTCTACTCTGATAATAGCTACATTCTTGTCTCCAGAAGTTTCTCGATAGTTGTCAAGTGCGTAATAATGTTTTCCACTAACTAAAATAATTTTAGTTACATTGCCTTTTTCTGCTTTATCATCCCCTGTAAAGTACATGTACAATTTTTTTAAACACAATTATATATTTCTGTTATATCGATCTCATTATTCTCATTATCTTACTACGTATATAAGTATCAAAGTTAACAAAAAAGTTAACATGGAATATCTTGCAAGATATTCCACAGAAATGTAACATACCGATAATGGTTTTGAAGCTCGTCCGAGGTTCAAAATCCGATAAGGATGACACTGCTGCCGGATGACGTAATAAAATTTTAGGCGCTACCACGATCAGAGGTTTCCGATAATCTCTTATCATCTATAAATTCATAAATATTTCAATTTTATTTAAAAATTTATTTTATCACTTAGAAACTTTTCGCGAGTATTTAAATCCCTTCTAGTTTTCACTAATGTATACTTTTTCCTTCCAATACCTGTCTTCTTAATAAATGGAAATATTGTGCTGGTTCACTGGGATTCGCAACATGTATATTAACATCATCGCCATCAACACCGTTCTCCTTACTGTCCGTTAATTGTAAGAATCTTTCGAGTCTACATGAACTGTGCTCCGGACCAGCACCATCGTACCCGTGTGGTAAAAGCATTGTTAGGCCGCTGCTCAGCATCCACTTTGCCTCTCCACTTGTTATATACGTATCGATAACTATTTGCGCCCCATTGAAGAAATCCCCGAACTGTGCTTCCCAAATAGGCAACGTGAACGGCGATGTTATACTCATACCGTATTCGAAACCTAGCACAGCTTCCTCGGATAGAATGCTGTTAGCTACCTCTAATTTGCCAGTTTGATCATCAACCATCGAATTCAGTGGAATAAAAATGGCTAAAAATTCATATGTCTGTATAATAATCGTAGTTTCAATAGATCTACATGATAATAACAGTCTCGATAAGGCTGAATTATGTAAACATTTGTTCGATTATATGTCAAGCTACACCTCCTGTAGATTGATCAACGAGCATTGCGTGCCTCTGTGAGAAAGTGCCACGGCCCACGTCCTGCCCGCTTATTCTCACATTATATCCTTGATATAATAAAGAACCGACGGCCAATGCTTCGGCAGTCGACCAGTCCAAAGCGTTACCATTATCGATCTTTTTTAGACGACTCTGAATATGATTCTTTAACAATTGTGGATGAATATCCTGAAATATAAAAAATAATTATATTTTATCGATTATACACAATATGCGGGATTCCATCTGACTGAGCGCTTTAAATATCTTTACTATTTTAAATAATATGAAAGAGTTGAGACTATATAAGATTTTAGTTTTTTATAAAAGAGTACGTAATGTAGTGGTAATTCTTTCGTTGTGCGTGTGGAGATATTTTATATATGGATATATATAAAATATCTTACGAAGTTCGATGGCACTCGAACACTTTTTTCTCCTACGAATCGTAGCAAGTCTAGCTTGACGCCAGTATCCCATTGTGTTATATTGGCTTCAGCTTGTTTCATTTTCGTCCATCTTCCAGCAAGATAAGTGGTTGACTGTGCCGATATGTCTTTCGAAGATTCTTTTAGGGTCTTATTCAACCACGCTGTGTGACTTTCGACGATATTTTTAATACTTTCTGGAGTAAGTATATCTAGGTCTACTAGCTTCTCCGCATATTGATCTGGTACAGATCTGTATTAAAAGAGAGATTTATATTATTTTGTAATTATTATGGATATTTTATGAATACTATAAAATATTAACTTAATTATTGATAATTTTTTCTATATTAAAATTATTATTCATAATGGATAAATAGACTATGTTACGGTTCTTTAAGTCATTAAAGGAGCCTTAATCTGGTATTATATGCATATCTCTAAAGTCTTGAATAGTTTTTTTTCTATAACTTCTATGTGTACTTACGCACGATTTTGTATAATTTTATATATGAGAGGGTTGGTGAATGTAGGATCATCTAATTCATTGTGACCCCATCTTCTGAAACAATTTAGATCAACAAATACATCCTTTCTGAATTGTCTTTGATATTTAAAGGCTATTCTTGCAGCTCGTACAACCATCTACAATGTATTTTGAAATTATAATTAAAAGTTCACTATTAACGAATGATGTTAGCGAATATAAAGGGGTTTTACTTCAACAGTATATACCTCAGGATTGTCACCGTTCACGTGAATTACAGGTGCAGATATAGTTTTCGCTAAATCTGTGCAATACCTTGACGATCGACCCTGGGAAGGTGGAGTTGTGAAGCCTAATTGATTATTAATTACCAAATGAATTGTACCACCGATTTCAAAATGCGGCGTTCTGCTTAAAACTAAGCATTCCTGATT